TGTGTGTGTGTGGCAAAAACTAGCGAAAAGAAGTTGTGAATGAGCTTCAAGTTCAATATGAAATCAATGCGAGTCTGGCGGAATTGAGTGTGTTTGTGTGGCACTTGTGCGGTATTGCATACTTTTAGGCGTGCAGAAAGGCGTGAAAATCGAATTGTCTGTGGGGAACAGTGGGCTGAAGCGACTTCAAAGTCCATAATAATTCCAATTTTGTCGATACATTTTTATATAATTATGTGAATTATCTGAAGAAAATTTTGCTTCACAGCTTTCTATGTATTTTTCAACAACCGTTATTGAAGAATTTATGACTTTTTTGCACATCTATTAGYTATGCTTCTTCTTCAACTTATCTTCTATAGAGAAAAAAAAATAATTTCTCGCTTTCCATTTTTGCTATTCAAATAAGCACCTCGCGCCCACGGTGCAACGGTAATGATAGCAGAAAGCTTCGTGTGAACGGAAGTTAAAGACAACAAAAGTTAGAAGTTTCAAGTGAATAACATACAATGGAATATGAGTTCACCGGCAATGAGGCAGCCTTACATGCGCTCACCTCACCTCACCTAACCTCACCGCATCTCACCTGTCGCTCSTTTAGAACCCGAGGCCAGTTTGAAAGTCTTAGCACTTAGCTTGTATGGGTGTGATGTATGTAGATGCACTTGGAGATTTAACGAGCTCGATAAGATTTGAAAAAATCTAGTATGAATAAATATGAAGTCTGCAGATATGCACTCGTAGTGGTTGTGGCAAAATAAAATCAAAGAGTAAAGACATGCAAAGCCGAAAATGTCTGTTGAAATATGTACGCAAGCTTGCCTTCTATTTCGGAGCTTCGAAACTTTATGTGTCTGACTGAGAAAGGGTCTGGTTAGGACAGCTTCATTATTGAATGCACTTCACTTCACTTTGCTGTTGTAACTTTGCATAAATTGAGCATAATTCGCATTTAAGACGCTTCCAATGACTGAAGTCATCAATAAATTAAATTTCTATTCTTATTTTTTGTAAGAAAGTATTAAATTTTGTTGACTTTTAGTTTCGAGTAGCGGCTTTCGGTTATTATAGAGTTTTCGTTTTGTGGTATTTAATATATTGAGTGCMGGTCAAAGTTTACGATATATTGTGAAAAAATAGTTCCATCTCTCAGGGATTATGCTGTATCGCCAAGCTCGTATCCAAAAGCACCGAAGAAAAGTACGCTGGCTTTTCCCAACACTTCGTCTGCTGCTTTTGAGCTTTATCTAGAACTCATATTAGGTATTCAGAGCTCGCATTAGATATTTAGAACTCTAACATTAGATATCTAATAGAGCTTCGCAGTTCTAAAGACTGGAAGGAGTATCTAAATTAGATATCAAGTCAAACTGAACTCAGATCTGACATTACTAAGTAGATCATCAGTAGATCTATGTATAGCGTAACCGCCGGCCAGTATATCCTAAACTAACCTAAGAGATTATCATAATTGCTGCTATACCTTATTTTGTTTCCCCACTATTATGGGTTGTATACATTTGAAAACAGTTCCAACTAAAATAAGTAATTTCAGTTGTTTTTCTTAAGTTTTTGATGTGATTATCCGTACAGCAGAAACCCAGTCAGTTTTTCAATGCTCAGTCTGTCACTGCGGTTCGTAACTTCGGTGGTCTTTCAAGTATAAGAGCCCTTTTCTTCAATGTCTGGTTCGTAGCCCTCCGTAAGTTAAGTTCTGGTTAAACAAAAGTTCTTTATGAAGGAAAAAATCTTGGTAAAGATAGCCAGAACTTATSTCACAGTTGACTATTAGCCAGACATAGAGAAAACAGCCTTAAAGTTTCCGACACCCGGTGCTTTAATCATATAATTTTCAATGCTTCGTAAATATCCGGTATTTTATCGAGAAACCCAACTGAAAATATATATCGAATTCTGAGGCATGACTGTAAATATATTATATAGATCAGAAACRAAATTTTAGAATGTCCGAATGTTAACTTTCAATCTAGTATGTCCTTGATAAAATTTTGTATAATCGGTGTAATACTCAAGCTCGTTGTTTAGTGATAATTTTAAGTCGTAGGTGCCAATGTATTTCATGAGTTATGCATCCACTCCAATAACAGAGCTGTTATATAGGCCCTTAGATCGCTGACAGTGAGCTCAATGTTAGTCAAGGAGGACATGACCTCACTAACTGTACAATAAATCTACTCCATATTAAACTTTTTTAGGAGCATGGTCTTAGCGGATTCGTTAGAATTCGCAAGAAATGATATCCTTACTCAAATCCCATCAGTATGTGCTCGGTAAACGTTGGTCAGCGACATGCGAAAGCATCTGGACCCGAGGRGAACTGAAAAGGTCATGTTCCTTAACAATGTTCACATGACCKCAATAATAGATKTCCTAACTGGACACTGTCCTTTGAAACTAATGGGGTAGGGCTAAAAAAAGGTGGGAGGTAAGATGAAGCATGTTGGCTGTCACTTTTGATGAACCTGGCGAGTTGTTTGAAATTTTGAAGTTCTGASAATCACGACAGACAGGCGTCTCTAGCCGTCCAAAGAAATCAGCCTATCCTAACATATACCATACAATAGCTGTCAAAAACATCTAAAGGTACTCTACTCGGTTATTAGAAGACTCAAGGTCGTAAAGTGTATATGGATGACTATATCTCCCATAATTAACTGAAAGTGAATTATTTACATTGTCTGAAATAGTAAGAAGAGTCTTCTATATTCAGGGGACTCCTCATCGCCCTGAAATGTTWTTAATGCCTCAAGAATAAATTTCGTAGCTAATAAATTGAAAAGAAAATATTTGAACCTSATATCTTGGGCTTGATTCATATTTGTATGGTATTTCCTTTCAAGTCGGTATCTTGATCTTGAATCTCGTTTCAGGTAGAACGTTTGCCTATTACTGTGGAAATCTAGGGTGCCTTTTTTTGCAACCTTATCATCTGTACAGCTTCTTGTAATTCCGCTGTGGCCTGGCAGTCCTATCACAAAGCCACTCGATGCTATTGATAGCAAATTAGGCCCTCTTTGACCAGCCCTGAACGCACTGTTAATGAGTTCAAGGCTAGTATAGCCGCTTATGCTATCTGCGTGAATGGTCACTTCTACATTAATGACTGCAACTTCGGCCTGGCAGTCGCTGAAATAGTCAGAATGTCTGAWGCTAGAGTTGATAGAGAGCTTCTGACAGTCCAACTTCCTTACCCCCAAGCTTTGACTCATCCGTACAKCATTCACAACTCCCTCGCCGGCATAAATGTATAAAAAGAGCCGCCAGAGTTCGGTTTGGCGACTSCATGATCGAAGCGATCCGATATGAAGTCAAAGTGTGTGAGGCTGAGTGTATGTGTTGGTGTTCAGCCACGTGCTATTTTAGGAACCCATCAGCAGCTATACACCTTCCGGCGATGTCTACGGGCACTATGTGCAATATGGCTTTMAGTGCCATGGTTCGAGTGGTCCTTATTTTGAAATCTCGTATCAAGAGCGTTCATTGAGTTCCTTTGCAAGTGTGGTATTTTTTAGAGCACTCCCCCACATAAAAGACTCCATAGAACATAATGAGCTTGACTATGGTGTCGTGGAGCCAGAGGACCACTTTCGGTGAGAAACCCCAACTTTTGCCAATGGCTCCTCTACAGCTCTTCTATATTCGGCTTCCTATCAAGRAAGAGTTCTAGATATTTGACTGTATCCGCCGGCTGCAGACGGATATCTCTCATTTGAAGCAACGGTGCCAYCGGGATCTTGTATCTACTAGTTAATAAAACCAACTTGGTTGGTAGCCTTTGGTGAGATCTTTTACGGCTACCCAATTTATTACGACGCAAAGATACCCCTACGTCAATTCGTAAACGGTACTCTGACACTTTCCTTTAACCATCGTCTGCATAGGCAATCATTCGGGAGCTAATATCTTCAAGTTAACAACCAGGATCCATAGAAGAGGAGAGCAAACTCCACCTGTGAGGCTCTCCTACTCACATTTCGTCGAGTAAGTGCGTTTCCTAATTTCGTTTCAATCACTCTGTTGCACAGAAGACTGAAAATGAGGTGCTTGAGGTTTGATTCAACACCAAAAACGTCCAGAAATGTTATGACTGCTTACCGCTGACGTTATTGAAAGCTTCCTCTATATCAAGGAAAATCCCAAAAGTGAATTCCTTAACCTTAATGACCTTCCCAAGCCATGGCACGGCAGTATCCACTGACTTGCCTTTACACTAAGCATGTTGGGCTYCTGATAAATGGTCCCTCGGAAGGTGGCTCCTTATGCACCAGTCCACCAGTCTCTCCAGAGTTTTTAGTAAGAAAGAGGAGAGGCTTTACTGTAGCCTCACTTGTATATAATTGCGTTTGATCGATTTATTGCCCATACATTTTACTAAGTTATTTTAGTTTTAATAGTGACATACATATTTACTAGATTGCGCGGCTCTGAAATAATCCCCAGAGCACAACTGGCTTTGCAACTAAAATTGTMCTCTAAGTTATTGGCATTAAATATTACATAAGTTCCACTGTGGCAGTTATGCAACCATTAGGGCTACAAAATACAAAAACACTTGCATATATGTATATATATATATAAAACATGTGATGTTGTTGCTTTATACATTTATGCAAAGTAATAAAAACTTATTGTATTTACAATTCTGTTTTTTCTCTCTCCTCTCTTCATTGCATGCACGCACACCAACACCCAAACGCAATCAAAATCAACAATCAACAACTGTGGCAACACTAACGACAACAACAATAACAACAACTGCGCTGATGATGACGATGATGACAACAACTTTGTAAATGCGGCTGAACTGGCCACGCAAACACTCACACACCGACACACACACACACACACACACCATTCACTCACTCGCAATGTGTGCGCACACAAACCTAACCGATTTGAAATGGTAAATGGTGAATGCTGAACGGTGCATGGTGAATGCAAATTGCMAATTGCAAATGGCGAATGGCAACAACGAAAAGGGCGTGGAGTGCTTTTCCGCCTTGGCGCATGCAACGATCATACTGGCGAATGTAATAYTTAAAACTGAGGAAATTTATTTAGTAAATCACATCAAACTTTATTTGAAAAACCATCCGGCGGTGGAGGAGCAGGAGCGCCAACGCGCGCACCAACAACGCATGCAACAGCAGCAGCAACAACAGCAGCGCGCGACGCTCTGGCTGCTGGACGGCCCATCGACATCTACAGCAGCGGCGCGTGCAGCCGCCAACGCGCTCAGCGCCACAGCAGCCGATGCGGGTGCGGGTGCGGCGTCGACGTCGGCGCCGGGGGTTGGCATAAGTGAAATTAACTATTTCGCAAAAGTTTTATGCGAGAAGMTGGAGCATTGCTTTGACGCTGTCGCTGGCACTGACAACTCGCCGMCCTCTGGCGATGCGGCCTACAGTCGGTTGGTGTGCCGTTTCGTTGCCGCTTTGCATGAGGTCTGCTGTCGGTCGCGCCACAAGGACGCGCTGCAATCAGTTTTTCGTTTGGTCCTGGCCGAATCGGCTTTGCTCGATAAGTACTGTAATTTCCTGACGATGGATCWGTGGCGGCAGCRTRCGGATGCCGACKGGCACGTCGGTGCAAACGCCGCCAKKRATGAGGATGATGCTGTGTATGARTGCTGTAGGACGGTGTCGTTGGGGCAGGCGCTGCAGCTGCAGCTGGAAGTCTTGAAACTTTTGTCGGCCATGAAATTGTTAGATCCGGTGGTGATGTTGCAATTGCTAAAGCAGCAAAAACAAAACGCATTACAACAACTACAACAACAGCAGCATGCACAGCAAATGGCAACCAATAAGGAGCGCCTGAAGTGGTGCGACAACATGCAGCGGACACTTCTGAGTGAAATTTGCCAGCAAAATGTAAGTGCCCCAGCTAGTGCGCTGATGATAACTGTTAACAAAGGCGCTGGGAGGCGCCCRTATGCGTGGTCGGCGGTAGCGAGGGACSCGCGCGGACATGTGCAACACAGTTTGTATGCGAAAAAGTGTGCATGYGTGCGCGCTCMTGACTTTGCATGCGCTTGTRTGTATGTGCATGCCYGTGTGCGTATGTATGTGTRTGCCATCCCCACTTTTGTCACTTGTAGCACATTAAATTAATTTGAATTCTGTTCAAATTGTGTTATTCACAGTCCTTCGGCTGGTTCCTCTGCCCTCTCTGCCTACAGTAGGCAGTGGCAGTCGCATACATGTAACTATGTCAACTGTTGAACCCGTTATTTAGCGCAGCACAACTGCGTCTAATAAGTTTTAAACACTTCTGCTCGTAAAAGTTGTAATTTTGTGGCTTTTGCTTGTGATTTATGCGCAATTGAGATGCGGTCTCGTGCCTGCCTRCGCTTAACTTGGCTCATGTTGGAGTAGTGCTCGTGTTAAGAAAGTGCTGATTTCGTTTGTCTACACAGCAGTTGAACTAGCCGCAGTTAAATGTAGAATTTTGCTACAATCATAAGCAGATTATGGACTTTTATGCAACAAGCGATTTAGTATTTTATTTCGGAAACTTTTATTCATACATACATATTCCAATACCTGGTTTTTAGGAACAAGTTTGAAAATGTTGATATTTTCCATACTTAAGACTGATGAGGATGGAACAAGTATGGGTCATTATGAGACCACTTTTGTGACGTCTTTGCAGGTCACCAAAACTCCCCCCCTCTACGGAACCGTCGCTCACTCTAGGACCACATTTGCTTCAGTGTGGCGTTCATTTTTCTCATTGACAGATTTACATCTGCGCACCTGCGTCCAGGTCTCGCTGCGTAGAAAGATTTCTTGTTAATCACCCAGTTTGCTTCATTCTCCAGCATGGCGCTGATTAAATTTCCCGCGTTTATTGGGCCAACCAGTTCTTCTACGGCGGTGCGTTCTCCTTGCCGTCGTCTCTRTCGTGCCGTTGTATAGGCATGATGGCTCTTCGAATTTTCCCATCCTGTGGAGGTGCTTTTTGAAGTATCCGTGATCGGACAACAGTTGAGGGGAGCATTACCGCTTATAACTAATATTACATCGCCTGACACTGTTCGGTAGGCTAATGCAACTCTCAGATCTGCGGTGCGGTCGTCGACATTAGGAGCTTCCTCTTTTCTTGGCTGCTAAGTTGGGAGATARTTTTCGTTGCCTTTCTGCGGCGTGCTGGGTTTGTACCCAGAAGGTTAGTCAGAGGTGCAGACTTACGCCTAGGTATTTTACTGCTTTTTGAGTCCTATTTTGAGCGAGAATATCCCTACTTATTTCGAGGAGTATGAGCTTATTTGTTTTTTTCTGGTTGTGTGAGTCAAGCCACGCTTGCGTCCATATTATGACATGATCATCTTCGTGYTTCTTCTGTGCCTCTTGCTGTAATTACTGCTGCTATGTCGTCCGCGTAGCTAATTATGTACGATTCGTTTGTCATTTCGAGTTGTAGCATAGCATCGAAGCAGTTGTTCTACAAGTCTGAGCCTAGAATGTATCTTTRTGCTGCTTATGACGYGACCGCTARCAGTTTTCTGTTACTAARKTAGYTYCGCAWCACAGCTCTGAGGTGTTCGAGGATTTTTTCCGACAGTGTCAATCATATCCACCCACCTAGCGCTGTTGAAGGCGTTTCGGACAGCTAAAGTCGCCATCCACCCTGTACGGCCTCTACACTTTCAATGACGCATTTTACAGC